TTACCATCCTCCTTTAAGTAAAATAAAAACATCAAGAGGGTTTTTAAAAAAAGCAAGGATGTAAATAACGTGAAAAGTGTTTAGCCTTCAGACACACACACTAGCGTGTGCATGTGTACACACAAAACAATCTTCTGCAATCATGTGTGTGGATCATTTTCATTGGAGAGGCTATTTTTAAATACTGACTGGCTGCCTACATGGCAACAAACGGTCTGTTATTGCAAGAAGAATGACACACTGAGAGACGCAGAAGTACCAATCCAATGGATTTCATACGCTGTGACAAACGGCATGTTTCATTTTTCTAAAGAAAAATTACAACTTCGGCAGTAGCATTTCTGCCACATGAACCACAAGAGTTAGTCAAGCCAGTCCTAAGAAAGTGCTCAAGGCCAAGGCAGGGACCCACCCATCTCTTATAAGGAAAAGCCACTGTCCCCAGCCACTTCCTGGACTCAGACATCCACCAGGACAGGAAACAGTCCTGGTGGCCCCACCTCATGGCAAGGTGGCCAACCAAGCCACATGAGCCCCACAGGGCTGGCAGAGGCCTGGGGCCACCCAGGAAGCAGGATAGAAGTACTTCAGAATAACGAGGTGTTAACGAAGGCACAAGGACATTCAAGGGTGAAGGAATATGTAGTCCCTTTAAGTCATCAACGCCATGGAAGAAAGTTAAGAAACAGAAACTGAGGCCAGAATCAAAGTAGCCTTGGAGCAACCCAGAAATTCCCAGAAATTAAACAGCTAGAACGCCCTGCCCACCCCCAGCACGCCACATCCTCGTGATGCCAATCCAGACACGTTTTCAGAAGAGCTGCAACCAGACAGGTACTTGGGTCTTCCAAAGAAAGTGCCAGCCAGGGTGGGGCAGAAACAGAACTTGCCTACTGGTCAACTCTCAGTCAACCAAGGAGTATTAAAAAGAACCTGTGCCACCTGCCCGCTCCCAGCACGCACCGGAGGGCTCATCTCACTCTGCTGGCTCCAGGCTCCTGCCAGCACAACTCAAGGTCCCCTCCCAGATTTTCTTCCAGGCAAGAAGACGACAGGGCACCGAGGCCAGCACAACCAGCTCCCTGTCACCACCAGGGAGTCCTAAACATGAACACAAACAGCTTCCAACTGTCACTCTAGGTATACTGAGAAATCCAGATTTTGAAGATTTAGAATATTCGAATTTTTACTTGTATTTATATTGATATATATTCTGCTTTCTGGAAAAATCATACATGATACTTAGATACTAGAAAACGCAGACACTAGTTATTTTATATTTTGCATATATGTAATGTGTACATTATACATATTATATATGTGTATGTTACATATATAAAATATCTTATATATTATACATAGATAAAACATGCTATATATTATATTTAGAATTATACATATATACCTATATAAAAAATAATATATACAACATATAAGATGTTTTGTATATGTATATATGTATAATTACATATGTATATATGTATAATATAACTATTGTCTCCCGTAATGATTGTCTTCCTGAGGTCCTGAGAGGGAATGGTTCTAGTTCTCCTGATTTTCCAGCCCTGGAATGGGCATGTATAATGTGCACCTGAAAACAGCAGGAAAGGAAGTCAAATGTAGGAAGTTGGGGAACTTAGGTTTACAGGTAATAGCCGTAGTTTTCAGTGATGGTTTCCAGCTCTGAACTGGTCACTTGGGCTATGTATTGCCTTGCTGTTCCTAGTGCATCAAAAAAGACAATGAAATGTTTACATAGAATGTAAACATTCAGTCATGAGATACACACACACACACACACACACACACACACACCCACCCCTTATATATTTTTTATACATATATATCACATAATGCATATATAAAACATCTTATATATTATATATTATACATATATAAAACATTGCATATATATATAAAGACATCTTATATACATTATACATATATACGTATACAAAACATATATATATGTTTTGAAAAATACAGCAATTAGCTGTAAACCCGAGTTCCCCACCTTCACACATTTGACTTCCTTTCCTCCTGTTTTCAGGAGCACATCACACATGCCCATTCCAGGGCTGGGAGAATCAAGAGAACTAGAACCACACCCTGTCAGAAGACAGGGAAGACAGAATCACGATGGGAGACAATAGTTACATGAATAAAACAGGAGGCTGGGAACAGAAAAAAAGAAACATTATGCCAAGATGTAGGATTGTTGCTGCTCAAAAGAATGATTATGAAAAACAAAAACAATAGATAAAATTGTGGAGGAAAAGCAAGGATAACCATCCATTCACAGGTGGGCTCAAGTCTGTAAAGATCTTACAACATAGTCTGGCATTCAGAAGATGCTAAATAAGTGTCTGATACATTTAGAAATTTAGGGAGAGCCTCTGGAAGAACAGCTAATGGATGCTGGGCTTAAGACATAGGTGACGTGTTGATCTGTGCAGCAAACCACCACGTCGCATGTTCACCTAAGTAACAAATCTGCACATCCTGCGCAGGTACCACTAAACTTAAAAAACAAGTTGAAAAATAAATTAATTTAGTCAAGCAAGTAATTTGTATGGAGAAAAAAATTTAGAAATTTAGAAAATCCGCTCATTCAAGCGAATGTAAAAAATCTTTTGCTGCTGTGTTCTAGGCATTGGGGATTGAGCTTACATTCCAATTCAGGGGAGGGAAATAAAGAACAAATATACACGTAAGTAGATGGTATCACAGGTGGTGATGGATGTTCATGAAACATAATGAAGGTAAGGGTGGACTAAGGAGTATGGCGGGGAGGAGGGTGATAATTACATCAGGCATTCAGGGGCAGCCCGATGGATTAACATTAAAGGACAAACCCTAAGGAGGACAGAAACAGACCCAGCCCCTGCATTCTAGTGTCTTAATACGTTATTGGGTGAATGAACACCTGATTTAATTTGGAAAGATTTCAAAGGATTAATGAGGCCCACAATCTTACTGAAGAATTTCTTAACAGAGATTCTTGAACTATCAAAAGTCACCTCTGTGTGCAACAATTAATAGGGTAATAGTCATGCAAGGTTATACGGTAGGAAAAAAAATTCTAAGTTTAAAGAATGAGATTATTGGCTGGGCACAGTAGCTGATGCCTGTAATCCCAGCACTTTGGGAGGCTGAGGCAGGCAGATTACTTGAGGCTAGGAGTTCGAGAACAACCTGGCCAACATGATGAAATCCCATGTCTACTAAAAACACAAAAATTAGCCGGGTGTGGTGGTGTGGGCCTGTAATACCAGCTACTCAGGAGGCTGAGGCATGAGAATCACTTGAACCCAGGGGCAGAGGTTGTAGTGAGACGAGATGGCACCACTGCACTCCAGCCTGGATTGACAGGGCGAGACTAGAGCTCAAAAAAAAGTGGGGGGAAGGGGGATTATTTTTACAGAACTTTTCCTGAAAGAAACAAGGGCCACAATACAGTAACAAGATGTTTTTCTAGCCGGGTGCAGTGGCTCATGCCAGTAATCCAGCACTTTGGGAGGCCGAGGTGGGTGGACCACAAGGTGAGGAGATCAAGACCATCCTGGCCAACATGGTGAAACCCTGTTTCTACTAAAAAAAATACAAAAATTAGCCAGGTGTGGTGGCAGGTGCTGGTAGTCCCAGCTACTTGGGAGGCTGAGGCAGGGGAACTGCTTGAACCTGGGAGACGGAGGTTGCAGTGAGCCAAGATCGTGCCAGTATGGTGACAGAGCAAGAGACTCGTCACACTCACACACACACACACACACACACACACACACAAGATGTTTTTCTAAAAATCACAAGTTGGAATAAACGAGTTACTTTAATGGGACATAAGCCACGGAAAAGGAGGTAAGGAATGAGCAAAACATGAAGGAATAACAGAAAAGAAATCCACTTGGATAAAATGATGCCTGAGAACAAGCTGTTCTTAGAGCAGGAAGTACAAACCACTGGTCACATGATGAACTGGACTGGCGTGTGGGCAGAACAAAGGAAAATGATCAACACGATGAAAAAAATAACTTGCAGAAGAGGCTTATGCACAGATTTCTTTTATTACAAGTCATTAGGAACCCCCAGTCTTAAAACCTAACTTTTCCAAATGAAGGGAAATTAAAATAAAATAAAGTAAATCCTAATCGATAGATGACATGCAGATTTTCTGAATCGCGGCATCTTCCTCTCACATTAGCTTGGCATTTCGTCTAGAGTAGAGGTTCTCAATCTCCTCCCCACCCCACACTCCCACCACTGCTGGGGACACTTGGCAACACCCGGAAACATTTTTGGTTGTTAGAATTTGGGAGAGGGGAGAAGGGTGCTACCTGGCATTAAACGGGCAGAGGCCAGGAAAGCTGCTAGACACCATTTGTACTACTGAATGCTACCCAAAATGCCGAGAGTGCCAAGGGTGAGAGATCTAGAAATGCCCTGAGATGCCAAATAGCCAGATGTTTACGCAGACACTAGGAAAACATGAGGACAAGAAGCCAATGCCTGTAACTAAAACTTTTTTTTTTTTTTTTTTTTTTTTTTTTGAGACAGAGTCTTACTCTGTCACCCAGGCTGAAGTGCAATGGCGTGATCTCAGCTCGCTGCAACCTCTGCCTCCCGGGTTCAAGAAATTCTCCTGTCTCAGTCTCCGGAGTAGCTGGGACTATAGACACCCACCACCATGCCCAGCTAACTTTCGTATTTTTAGTAGAGATTGGGGTTTCACCATATTAGCCAGGCTGGTCTCAAACGCCTGACCTTGTGATCTGCCCGCCTCAGCCTCCCAAAGTGCTGGGATTACAGGTATGAGCCACTGTGCCCGACTTTTTTTTTTTTTTTTTTTTTTTGAGACAGGGTCTCTGTCAACTAGGCTGGAGTGCAATGGCGTGATCTCTGCTCACCACAACCTCTGCCTCCCAGGCTCAAGCAATTCTCGTGACTCAGCCTTCAGAGTAGCTGGGATTACAGGCAACCGTCACCATGCCCAGCTAATTTTTGACTTTTTTTTTTTCAATAATGACACGTTTTATTTCTCTCAGAACTTTAAAATGTGAACATTGTATATGTCGGCCAGTCTTTACTTCCAGGTATATTCTTCACTGGGTCGCAATTCCCTTTTATATAACACACTCTTGTTCTGGAAGGCAGGTAGCTTTTCATCATTCTTTCTGTCAAAATAACATCCAAGGACAAATCCCACAGGGACAAGAACATGAACCCAGTGGCCCTGCACAATCTGAAGTAAGTTCACCATGATTGCTGCAGGTCCAGTGGCAACAGTGACCGGAGACCAAGGGCAATGGAGCCTAATTTTTGTATTTTTAGTAAAGACAGAGTTTGGTCATGTTGGCCAGGGTGGTCTCAAACTCCTGGCCTCAGGCGATCTGCCCACCTTGGCCTCCTAAAGTGCTGGGATTACATGCATGAGCCATCGCACCTGGCCCAAAACTTTTCATAAAACATAAAAATATCTTTCAAAAACATCCAAAGAAATAACATTGAATAGAGGTAAACCAGAATCAGCATGACAGTATTATGTCTTATTATATTGATTTGTTTTTGTTTGGCCCAAGTTAAGGAGGAGGAGGATTTCTAGGAATTGGAGTCTGCTTACATTTTTGAGATTTTCTAATTGAACTTCATTAATCATGGCCAAACAATATGGGCCACACTATCTCTGTTTTTGAGAGTATTCTTTTGCTCCTTCCTGGTTGGGGATCCCGCACCTCTTCCCACATCTGGGCCACTGTCTTCCTGCTACTCTTCTCCTGGGGTCTCAGCTCAAATGTTTTCCTCGCAGAAGACGCCAATGGTCTTGCCCAGAGGCACCCCTGCCATCCTCCTCCTTATTCTGTCACGTGTGTATCCTCATTGCTCCTTATGACGCATTCTAATCACTTCTCCACTATCCTGTTTACAAGCTATTGCACCCCCACCCTGGAGCCTCTTGGTCAGGATCTTTCACACTTCTGACCACAAGCCACAGTGAGAAATATGTTTTCCCCTGTGAACTACTGTAGTTAAACAGAAGTTTCCTAACACAACACTTAGCATCACAATGTTTGAGGCCTCCACATCTTCTATACCCTATTTCATTTCTTTCTTTCTTTTTTTTTGAGACAGTCTCGCACTGTTACCCTGGCTGGAGAGCAACGGCGCGATCTCTGCCCACCGCAACCTCCACCTCTTGGGTTCAAGCGATTTTCCTCCTTCAGCCTCCCAAGTAGCTGGGATTATAGGCATATGCCACCACTCCTGGCTAACTTTTTGTATTTTTAGTAAAGACTGGGTTTCACTATGTTGGCCAGGCTGGTCTTGAACTCCTGACCTCATGATCCTCCCGTCTCGGCCTCCTAAAGTGTTGGGACTACAATTATGAGCCGCCACACCTGGCTATTTCATTTCTTTTAAATGCCAGCCATGACCCTCTCAGCTGACTTCACACCTCACTACTCCAAGGGCAGGAGTTATGCCCATCTTGTCCCCAGTGCCCAGCCCTGGCAGACTCAAAAAATATTGAAGGAATGGTCCTGCTCTCAAAATGGGTATAATACATACAGAAAGGCAGCGTGGACAGCCAGATGCAGTGCTGTATGCCTGCAATCCTAGCTATTTGGGAGGCTGAGTCATGAGAATCACTTGAACCCAGGAGGCAGAGGTTGCAGTGAGCTGAGATCACGCCATTGCACTCCAGCCTGGACAACACAGTGAGACCCTGTTTCAAAAAATAAAACCAGGCCAGGCACAGTGATTCACACCTGTAATCCCAACACTTTGGGAGGCCAAGGCGGGCAGATCACTTGAGGTCAGGAGTTTGAGACCAGCCTGACCAACATGGTGAAACCCTGTCTCTACTAAAAATATAAAAATTAGCCAGATGTGGTAGCGGGTACCTGTAATCCCAGCTACTCGGGAGGCTGAAGCATGAGAATTGCCTGAACCCAGGGGGCGGAGGTTGCAGTGAACTGAGGTTGCAGTGAGCAGATTTCACCACTGCCTGGGTGACAGAGCGAGACTCAGCTTCAAAAATAAATAAATAATTTTTTTAAAAAAAAGGGTGGAATAAGAGGCAAACATGATTTTACCACTCCAGCCTGGGCGATAGAGCGAGACTCAGTCTTAAAAATAAACAAATTAACAAATAAAACAAAAAAAAGGGTGGAATAAGAGGCAAACATGATTTTACCACTCCAGCCTGGGCGATAGAGCGAGACTCAGTCTTAAAAATAAACAAATTAACAAATAAAACAAAAAAAAGGGTGGAATAAGAGGCAAACATGGCCTTAGGATCATCTCTAGCTGAACTGAACTCTCCTAGATCTATGCCACTTATAACTTAGGGACAACAAACAAGTTTTTCATTTCTCTGGCCCACTACTTTCTCCAACTGTAAAATAAGAACAGTGATCAGAGACAACTCATACAATTACCATGAAAACTAAGGAAAATGATGTAAGTAAAAGTCACAGAGACTGGCTTACAATGAGAACACAATAAAAGGTAGCAGTTCCTGGCCGGGCGCTGTGGCTCATGCCTGTATCCCAGCACTCTGGGAGGCCGAGGCAGGTGGATCACGAGGTCAAGAGATCGAGACCATTCTGGCCAACACAGTGAAACCCTATCTCTACTAAAAATACAAATATGAGCTGGGTGTGGCGGTATGAACCTGTAGTCCAAGCTACTCGGGAGGCGGAGGCAGGAGAATTGCTTGAACCTGGGAGGCGGTGGTTGCAATGAGCCAAGATGGCACCACTGCACCCCAGCCTGGCGACAGAGCGAAAACTCCATCTCAAAAAAAGTAGTAGTTTCTATCAGGAGAACAGAATACAAGCAACAATATAGAACATTCTACGAGGAAGAAAGCAAGAATCCGGCGGGAGGAGCCCAGGCTCTGAGGATGAGAGCGAACACACTCTCCAGAACACCTGCTGTGCAGGGGAGGGAACGAGCAAAGGAAGGCTGAGTGTGACTTCTCCGTGTTTTATGACAGCCTTGCCCTGTAAGCTCTCTGATCAAAAGCCATTTGTCATAGCACTCTCTTCTCCTATTTTAATCCCTCTGCATGCATTTTAATGCCTTTGCTGGCCTTGTTTAGATTTTTCTTGGAATTCCATGTTGTTTCTGGGGATGTCTCTCTTATTTTCCCTCTTTTATTTATTGACTCTTTAATTCATGAATTAAAGTAATGATCAATGACAAAGGTTGTTAATACATCTGCCTCCTGACATGTGGCTGAAATGAGCAATCACGAAAACAAAAGAGAGCTTATGTTCAACTTCACTGCCTCTGTGCTTTCAAAGACTGTGTATGCGCCCTCAAGCTCCATGACTGATTATTTTGTACTGAGTAATGTATACTTTTATGATGTTCCTTTGCAAGCAAGAAGAGTCTAAGAAGAAAATACAACCCATCTAACTGAAAGACTGCCTTGTCCTATTGTTTTTGCTGCCACCTCACAAGACTGGAGAAAGTATTTGGTACCTGAAACATCAAGTACTGGAATCTAATCAAAAGCAAATTTATACACGTCTACTCTGCTAATGTGCAGGGGGAAAAATGGCAATAGTGCCCTGTTTTCAGCTCAAACTTGTCAGAGATTTGGCACTCTAATTACTATGGCCTAGGGGTTAACTTTTATTTTATTTATTTTTTTTTTGAGACAGAGTCTCACTGTCATCCAGACTGGAATGCAGTGGCACAGTCTCTACTCACTGCAACCTCCTCCACCTCCTGGGTTCAAGCAATTCTCCTGGCTTAGCCTCATGAATAGCTAGGATTACAGGCATGCACCGCCATGCCTGGGTAAGTTTTACATTTTTAGTAGAGACGGGGTTTTGCCATGATGCCCAGGCTGGACTCAAACTCCCGTAATCAAGTGATCCACCTGCCTCGGCCTCCATCCACCTGCCTTGGCCTCCCAAAGTGCTGGGATTATAGGAGTGAGTCACTGCACCTGGCCAATGTTATCTCTGAATAACAGTTATATACATAACTGTTCTGTTACTTTGTTAGATAACTAAGTATAGATAACACCAAGATTGTTATTTTCTTTTTTCAAAGACTCAAACTAGTTTGTGAAATTAAGTCCTTTAAACTGTCATCAGGTTTTCAATGCCCAGTGTATCCTTTGGATGCAAAAACAAAATAAGAGGGCCAAGCAGAGGGTTTATTAAGTGCCAGCTGCATGCATCAGATGTTGCTAATATTACCTCATTTGGTCCTCAGAAGGGGAGGTAATACTGATGCTCATTTTTAAAAGGATGAATTCACAGAGGACCCGAGAAATTAAGAAACTTATCCAACAGCACACAGCACAAGGAGAGTTCAATTTCTTGGTATCATGGGAAAGCATGCGTGGTAGAGTCAGACTTTACAGGGTCACCTGTTCAGAGATGACCTTTTGAATTCCAGCTCCGCCACTTGCTTACTGGCTAGGAGTCCCTGGGCACAATCCTCAGCCTAAACTGATTTTCAGATGTACATGGTGAAGGCATAACTATCTCTGCGGCGGAGATGCTGAGGCTTAGACTAGTGAGGGAGCACACACCTCACCCCTGCCCGGCCCTAACCAGTTAGTTACCAACTGCTGCTACTATCCAGTTAGTCCTCGACGTTGCTGGGCTGCCCCTCTTTTAAACTGACAAGAAGGATGCGGTGTGATGACATCATGAAGATGAGGGCAAAGAGGTCGCCGAGGGTGGACATCCTGGGAATGGAGTCAAAACCAAAGAATGTGTAACCCCAGCACTTTGGGAAACCGAGGTCAGCATTTTGGATCACCTGAGGTCAGGTGTTCCAGACCAGCCTGGTCAACACGGCGAAAACCCCGTCTCTACTAAATATACAAAATCAGCCAAGTGTGGTAGCAGATGCCTATAATCTCAGCTACTCTGGAGGCTGAGGCAGGAGAATCACTTGAACCCGAGAGGCAGAGGCTGCAGTGAGCCAAGATTGCACCACTGAACTCCAGCCTGGGCAACAAGAGCGAAACTCCATCTAAAAAAAAAGAATAAATCTCACTGCAAGATGCAATTCAACAGAAATTCCACAGGAAAGCAATCTTCTGAATCCTCTCTAGGTGTGATCACCACAAACACGGCTGTCCCCAAAACGGAAGGTTTCTTCCTGCTGTCACTTATACAAATAGCACACCCCCAAAGGTATCAGGGATGTCGCGCACAACATCCTACAGCCGCCAGCAGACCAGTCACTGAGCGGTAACTCCTAACCATCCAGCTCCAACCTTTCTGAGAATGCCG